ATTCGCTTTTTTCGGAATCCGCGGCACAACAAAGGCGCCAACAAAATTTAAGTTACAGGTAATTGTACGCGGAACCCACGGAAGTTTTGTAAGTGGAATGCACTAACATTTTGGAACACGTTTAAAGGTTTGTCTTTTGAATCCAGCAACATACAGACACAAAATTGTGCGCCTATTCAAAGCACAGTTTGGCCTCTTTATGGAATTCCGACCGTTTTTCGAACGCGTAACATCACCAGCAATCCACTAGTTCAGGAATTTTTTTTAGATGTTTGGTATATTTCATAGTATATACTTATATCTATCTAACTAAAAGAGTTTGCTTGTTTTTCATTGACCTTCCTCAAAAAGAGACGATAAAAGCGCCTTATGATGAAATTTCCCATTGGACTGAAAGAAAAAGTAACTGAATGAAAATAAAATTTTCCATTAGTTCACAAAATTTTCAGTTGATCGCAAATGCTTAGAGAAGTTTCAGAGGTGTTCATCCATGCTATGAGTTTTCAGATGAGTTTATAGAAATCTCTTTTCATTTGCAAAAAATCTGGGGTGCGTTATTTTATTGGTATATATCAAGAACTTCAGGTAATAGTATAAGGATTAGATTTCTTGTCAGTCACTCTACGGGCTAACATTGATAACATTTATAAAGTGTTAGACAAGGAATATATCTGTGAAAGTTTCAGTGTTTAAACAATGGTAAGAGAATGGTAAGAAAATGGTAACTTTTGCACAAAACTTTTGTGTTTTCTTCTTATTTTGTGAGATCTTTGAAACACGGTTCCATTTGATCTAGTTTGAGCTTCCTTTATAGGGTTTTATATGGTGTTTTAAATGCTTGTTTTGTATGGTTTTTAACTACTTAAGGCAGTTTTCTATCTAGCTGAATCTTCAAAAAAAAACAGTAAAAAAACTTTTATAACAAATTGAACAAATTGTATGAATCAGTGCATCCTATTTTAAATTTTTTGCGTTTTTATAGAAAAAAATCATGAAATCAAAAAGAAATACTGCATCGTACATAAATTTACTTTTATGCATCAATTCTTGTAACATTAATTTTTTTGTATGAAATGTATCATCTAGATCTTGTATCCACAAACAGACCAACAAGCACAGCCTCCATCACAACTCAAAATGAAACATCATCGGCAACAACTGAAACAAACAAACTACCCAACGCAACACAATCTTATCCATCGCCCCCAGCAATCACTACAGCCCCCTTCGACCCCTGGAAACTTATCGACCAATAACTTGAAATTAAAATAATTGACATATACAAAAATGTCGTTAACTGGAAACCAAGCTTCATAGTTCTAAGCAAGAACAAGCCCGGTTTCCAATTCATAGAATAACTGAACCTGCAGTTGTTGTCATTAGTAGAAGAAACACCGAATTCTAACGTCGCAATGAAAGCAGCAATGATTCTCCCACATCTGCTGCTCCCCAAAACCAAATCAGAAACAAACAGATCAAATTTCAAAACACTGAGCTGCCGCATATTTTTATGGAAGCAAGGCCTAATAGACGAACTTTTCACTGAAGTAGAAGCTCTCCAAATTAGACATCCAAAACAGAAGAAGTCCGAAGTAAACGAGAAAGCTAAGCATTTTGATACACTAAGGAGTACAGGCATAAAATCTGCCACTATTGGCTGCCTTTCAGACAAGAAAACAAAGGAGTACTTCCCCTAAACGAAGTCATTGAAGGAAAAACAGTCCTTAATTTCCTAAAGGAAAGACAAGCCCCAACCAAAACAGCGAAAACTAACTATATAACTGATTTAAATGAAGACACAATGCCATACCAGCCCTCTATATTCGGACAAATAAACGACAAAACAGTTCGAAAATGAACCTTGAAAACGCACGAAAGCCATAGTCCCTCAGGTCTAGATGCGTGCGAACGGAGAAGGATATTAACTCACTTCAACCAGACATCCGTTGAGCTTTGTAAGACAATTGCTAAACTATCCTATACAATAGCAAGTAGAGTTGTCCCCCATAAAAACTTAATAGCTTACAACTCGTGTTGCCTAATACCTCTGAACCAAAATCCAGGGATACGACCCATTGGTAGAGGCGAGGTTCTGAGAAGAATAATTGGCAAAACAGTCACCCAAGGTGTAAACTCAGACCTTAAAAATCTCGGAAAAATTTTCCAACTCTGCTTAGGCCAGAAGTGTGGAATCGAATATGCTATCCACAGCTTGAGGAAAGAGTTTGAGAAACCGGAAACGGGAGCCATTCTACTTAATAACGCAGAAAATGCTTTCAACTTGCTCAATAGAGAACTTGCTCAAAAAAATGTAGAAATCCTTTGTTCGGCACTACATCATGCGCTGGCCATTTCATATAAATATCCCTCAAATTTATATGTCAATAACACGGTTTTGACATCAACCGAAGTCACAACGCAAGGTGATCTCCTCGCAATGGCTATCTACGGAATTGGAATAATCCCACTGATTGAGTATCTCTCAAAAAATTTTCGCAAACTTCTTTTAGATTGTTAGTGAAAATTGTTAATGAAATTCTATGTAATGCTTACTCACCTTATACAAAACCAGTTTTTTTAGGTAATTTAGTCAGAAGTTTCGAAAAGATATGTTTTGAAACAGGGAACACTATTCAAACTATTGAAGCTTTCTAAACGGTAAATTATTTTTTTTCCAGTGAATTGTTGCTTTTTTACAGTTAAAGCAGAACAAAGAAATTAGGTTCATGTTTTTTCTTCGAAAACCCACAAAAAAGAACATCCGTTTTTGCACACTTGAAAAAATTGGAAAATAGTTCTTTTAACTTAACTTTTTTCTTAACTTTTTTCTCCTTTAATAACCTTCTTAGCATTCTCGTTGAAAAAACATACCA